ACTACCCCCTATATACTAGTTAAACCTATGCGGTTGACTTCATAGTCACTGCAAAGAAAATGAACAAGGAGAATTAGCTATGTTAGACTGTAAAATGAAACGAACAGAAGAAGGTAAATTGCACAATAGCGTTTATAAAAAGCCAACACATTCTGATAGATATTTAGATTTTAATTCATCTCACCAGTTATCTGTTAAGGCAGGCTTAGTTAAGTGTGTAACAAACCGAGCAATAGCACTGAATAGTACAACAAAAAACCTAAATGATGAAAAGAAATAGATAGAAGAAGAAGCGTTGGTGTCAAATAACAATCCTATAAAATTAATTAGGAAGATCAGAGAAGGTCAAAAGCAAAACTTTCTCACCTGCAACCTGTGGACGAAGACAAAAGAGGATGGCCAAAGTTCAAACTGGTTGATATAGCCAACCAATACCACATATCACCATCCGAAAAACAGAAAATGCTTACTCAGGAGCATAGAGCAGCACTAAAGAGACTATGTGAAAATGATGACATCGTCATGTTTAGACCCAATAAAGGCTGTGAAGTTGTTATAATGAATAAAACTGATTATGTACATAAACTTTTGACAATTCTTTATGATCCCGAGAAATTTTAGGTGGACAAAACTAAGAAAGATGTAACAACGTCATATGAAAACACAGTAAATAAATGCCTCAAAGAACTCCTGATCAAGAAAATGATTGACAGCAAAATTCACAACGAACTCAGGTCAAAAGATGGACACCTCCCACTTATGTACGGTCTGTCAAAAATCCATAAGGCCAATGTGCCCTTAAGACCAATACTATCAATGATAAACTCACCATGCCAAAAACTAGCTCGTTGGCTTGCTGATTCATTGAAGCCCATTTAACAGAAATTTGCAATTCATAGCTTGGATGACACTTCCAATTTTCTAACGAAGTCAACTATGTTGATATATCAGATAAACTAATGGTGTCATACGACGTGATTGCCTTATTTGCAAATGTACCAGTGATGGAAACAGTAAACATCATTTGTAAACAAACAGATCTATTGCCATTACTGGAAACAGAGATGAAGCGCCTAATTATTCTTTGCACAAAAGACATCAAATTCAACAACCAAATTTACCGACAAAATGATGGGGTCGCCATGGGTTCACCTCTAGGACCTATTCTAGCCAACATCTTCATGAGTTATCTCGAACACACACGACTGAGTGACAGTATCAATTAAACAACATACTATCGTCGATATGTCAATGATACGTTTGTTGTTTGTAACGACATAAGTCAGGCATCCGTATTATTTGATCGCCTTAATGAGATCCACCCAAAGATTAAATTCACCTTGGAAAATGAACACAACGACAATTTCAATTTCCTGGACCTACATGTAAGAAGAAGAAACGAAGGAACGGTTGAAAAGTCCATCTACAGAAAAGAAACCTAGACTAGACAATACATTCACTACAACAGCTTCTGTCCTATAAGCTATAAGAGGGGATTAGTAATGACACTCACTGTGAGACAGAGCCAGGAAGCTATGTCCGCCTAACAAGGTAGAAGAAGAATTAAGCTTTGTTGGAAAATGCCTTAGGGAAAACTGGTATCCAAAGGGATTTATCCTAAAGTACAGTAAAGAAAAAGATGAGAAAGCGAAGTATCCAACAGTTGAAAAGAAGAAAGTGTTCATTTGCTTCCCAAACAAAGGAGAAGTAGTATCACAAAAGATTGACAAGAGGATGAAAAGAGCAATAAAGAGATGCTAAGCTGGTGACATTATACAACCCTATATGCTCTATATGCCAATCGAAACTGGATAAGTACCCTGCTTATGTTACCTCCAGCGGCATTTATAAATTTACGTGCACCTGCAACAGCAAGTACATTGGAAGGACAGAAAGAAGGGCTTCTATCCGGTTTTCAGAGCATATTCCAAGAAACATATGCTTAAAAGGAAGCAGATATTTACAAAGTGCAATTACGAGACACCTTGTGGATACGAATCATTTTGTTGAGATTTCCAAATCCTTCAAAATATTCAGCATACAAAGGACAGCGAATCCACTACAATTTGCTGAAGCATTTGCAATCAAACGTCTCAGACCAAACTTATGCACACCGAAAGAGAATGTAGTCAATCTCTCACTCCCTTGGTAACCGTATTACTTTCATTATACTGATTAGTTATACGCCTTAGTGCGCTCAACTCACTAACCTTCTTGAGTTGCCATGTTGACGTACAAGCTAACACTGTTTGTTAGACTTTTCTGTTTTCTGTCTTCTCTCTCCCTCTTTTTTCATAGTTTGATAGCACATAAACTGATGGTAAGTGAAACTAAAAATTGTAATACTTATATTCCGGATGCGTTCATCTTATGATGTTTTCTTTATTACCTTTCAAACATTGAAGTATGAAATGTTATTACTTATGACCATTGTAATATCAGATAGTTTGCAGCTGATGAGAAGCTGTGAAATAGAATGATATTATTTTATACTGCAAATCTGGTCTTTCTTTCTCTATCGAAACTAATAATGATAACATAAATAAGAAAGAATATAAGGCATCTACAGTTTTACCATATAAGGAGGGGAAATCTGAGATCCTACTTAGGATTCTCAATAAACCAGGAATTAGGGTGGCATTTAAAACTACAAAATGACTCAGAGACAAGCTCTGTAGTTTAAAGGACCCTACTGACCCAATTAGACAAAATAATATAATTTACAAAATACCTTACAATGACTCTGACTTCAAGTATATTGGCCAAACCAGTAGATCGGGGATAGTCAGATTATCAGAACATAATAATTTAGCCAAGTGTGGATTGATTAACCCTACCACGATAAGTTATTTAGCAAAACAAGTCAGCGATTGCACTGCATGCATAAATACGCAGCCACACAATAAGATGGGACAAAGTTACAATTCTAGAAAGTAATGTGGATAGGTGGAGAGTGGGAGAGGCTGATTACTGAATCTTTGTTCATCGAGTCTACACTCAACATGTGCAATAGGAATGACTCATCACTAATACGAGAGATATAGAAAACATTACTATTAATCAGAGTGAGAGATGAGAAATAATGGAGTTATATAAACTAAGTTAGACAGTTGTCTTAGTGTCTTGTTATGATTATGAGCAGCAAAAATCTGTGCGCGTCATCAGTAAATATTACCGTATGAAACTGTAAGACTTTATCTAAATAAATTTTACCCACAATGGAATTATACTCTACCACAGTGCACAAGTTCTGCTCTTATATCAAACGTTTGGTTTATAGAAATCGATTGTACATTATCACTACGGATTTCTCAGAAGTTATCTACAAATGTTGAGATAATCCAGAAGATGGAGAGAACAAGTAAGACCATAAATCCTGGAATTTAGAAAGGATTAAAGGGAATTTTCTGAACAGACTCTTAAACACTTCTTCATGAAAAAAAATTTTTATATATTACTAAATACAAGCAACTGACAGTTGTCTGCAAAACCAAAATCGTATACCAAGATATCTATATTAATGTTTTAAAGGACAGAAGTGAATTCATCACACAATAGTATCTCAACTAACAGAATCGAAATGAAAGACTCTGAACCTACTTGAAGCTAAGGAGACAGCAGTGAACAGGATAATATGGAGGTACTTGGAATTGTTTCTTTAAACGAAGGCTGAACCACCTTAGACTTTAGAGATTCATTGCAAAACAGTGAATCTCGTGCAAGGTAGAACAATATTTTATGAAGGACGCATTATATTCTGTTTTAAATGGAAATCAGCTCCAATGCATCTCTAAAAAGGATATCATCACTAAATCAGCTCCTCATGAAGAGATATCTCACCGGTTTCAAATCTCATGATGTTGTGGACAACTGATAACTGATAAACTGCACACTAGAACAGGTATCACCATCAACATAATATTACAATGTCAGGTAGAATAAAAGTAACGGTCACTACTCATTATATGAACTATGTTATGCATTCAAAACGTAAAACGCATATTCCTTCGCATAGAATGAAATTTGTTCATAATCAAATCAACGACAGATTTCAACACTTGGAAATCACAATGGATTTAAATTCTGTTCTCACAGACTCACCTTCTTTGAATATAATTATCCGACGAATCAAATCTTTTCTTACGACAGGAAAAAAATGCAATAGCTCAAAAGAAATAGTGTGTATCCGTGTCCCCTAGACAAACAGGAACTCATTGGACTAAAGACGAGTCAAAAACAGGAGAAACACTCCACCTGAATGGTTCAACTATTAAGAATGTTTGAGGAAAAGTGATAATTCAAATCTCCAGCAGATTCACAGTTAAGTAAAAGAAAATTTGGAGTGTAAAAAGTACTTTAATGAGAGCACTTATAATATTAACGGCAAAATCAAAGAAAAGTGACGCTAGAAAAAGATGCAAAGGGTAGTTTACATTAAATAACCTGGTAGTCACATAGTAGAACATATACACAAATACAAGATTGAAAAAATAAGCATATTAATAATAATTTAGTTACTATTTCAATAAGTATTGGCGAAAACGTTGAAAATTTCACCAGAAAAGACTTGAAAAAATAGAAAGACATAGAGAAAAGAGAAAGGAAAAATGTCCAGAAATGAATCAAAATAATAAATAAAGGCTTAGGAGAATAAAAGTCTAAAAATACTTGAGAATAAAATAAAGAGCAGGTGAAAACAACCGGAGAAATCCAAAATCAACAGTACCTACCCCTAATTAACTCACATAAAACTGCGAAAACAAACAACATGCAGAACTGAACAAATATATCAAAGCTAACCAAAAAATGTTTAGTTTACTAAAGCGAATTGAAAAGTCTATCTCATGTACTAAACAGATTTCAATCAAATGAAAATCTCACGTCATGTACTGACTGACACACAGTGATTAGAAATAATCTCACTTCAGCTGATTGACATTTGTTCACTTCAATCTGCATATAAATACACAGAAATATCAACACACCACACCAGTCAACAACTTCCAGAATGCTTTCAATAATTCTACACATCACCTTGTTCGTTTCACTGACACACACTCACATCACGATATCAGATGTAGACACAGAAATCCTACTGGCTCACAATCTACTGAAGCAGTCGCTGAAATTCTGGCTTCCCGATGCACCGATAGTTCGCGAGGGAAAAGTCAAAGATTATGTAAATTGAACATTCAGTTTTTGTGACACATAATGTTATCTGACTGTCTCGTTGACCATCCACTTTTCTCCTTCTACCTGTTCAAGGTATGGGACAACAATCTAGCCATCAACGCCTACCAATGGGCTCAACAATGCAAAAACAATCGCAGTTCCCCAGAGGACAGGAAAGACAAAAGACATCGGATCATCAACCAGAATGTGGCCATCTCTGGAGATATTTTAGAGTAAGTGTGAAACATACATTGATGACGAGTGATTGAATTCAGTGCAGTGATGGTGTGGGCTGTGGAGAGTGCCAATTACAACGTGTACACTGGCGAGTGCAAGGAAGTCGGGAAATGTGAAAATTATAGAAATGTGAGTTACTGATAGAGTGCTTTTGGATATTGAAGCTACATGTGAGTGGCTTCAAATTCGAGACACTGTATTCCACTCTAATCATCTCTTCACATTTGTCTGTTAACTTCGTTTCATTCCACTGTGTGTTTTCAGCTTCTTCTACCTGGGACAGTCTACTTGGGATGTGGTTTCCACTGGTGTCCAGATCTACCAACGACGGGGAAGAATCTGGTTGTGTGCAATTATTCTCCGGAGGAAAGTAATTCTAACAGGTGATATATACACACGCATACATATGAATGAATAGCTAAATAAACAGAGGTCAACCCAAATTTCAATAGACGTGTATGAAATAGATGATAGGAAAATAAACTACATTCGGAAATGTGAATATGTGAATATGATATGATGGAGTCAGATGTTGTCAAAATTGTAGACTAAGTAAAATTTTATAATATAATAACATAAAGCGAAGTAAAATAAGATAATGTTAAGGGAATGTTACCTCGACTGCCTGATTTTATATGTTCACCTGTTCTTGCTGAGCTAGTCACACAGGAAGTTTGTCGGGAAACTTATCCCGCCACATTTGAGAGCATCTCCCAGTTTGGCTGAGCAAATGAAAGCGTAGAGTTATTAATTCATCGATATTGAGACATATTTAGGATACTGACCACACAGTATTTGATACATCGTTTAATATAGTCTGCATAGTTCGACGACGTTTGCTGAAAGGGACACGAGTGCATTTGCTTGTGTATAGCCGAGGATTTGTAAATACATTATATGTATAGATGTTTTTTCGTATCCAGTTAACATTTGGAATCTCATTGTTGTGTCGAATACACATGGTCGTGAATACTTAACAGAGGACACACTTTCTCAGAGTGTGTAGTTAGATGCACAATGTTAGTGACCAGATTGTCATTGATGAGCGGCAATCACCGAATTCGAATACTCCGATGACTAATTTCTAATTTGAGTTTCTTGTTAATGAATAGGATAGAAATTGCCCTCTTCGAGTTCATAGTATTAATAGGGACTGAATATCTTGTATTTTAAGAAGTATCCTCCCACTCGAATTCTCCATGTGAGACTGTACTCTGTGAATGTATGCTGAAGTCACTCAGCGTTGTCTTTCCACCACATTGCAGCCTTGCATTTGCTGTCACAAAATATTTCACATGAATCTTACACATTTGTAGTCTGCATGAACACGGTTGAAATCATTCTTCGATCCACATAAATGATTATCTCGTAAGTGCTCTTGTATCCACGAATATTTATTGTTCATATGTTGATGTATTTCCACATTTTGAAGTCCATCTCATTTTTAAATTAAGGAGTCAATAAACTGGAGCATCAATCTATGACAGAAAATCAGACGGACTATCGTGATTACTAAGAAGTGTGCAACATCCCTCTTCGTTACTTTTTCTTTCAATTTATGTTAACCAAATAAATGTCGATTATGTGGGAATATTTCCGCCTTTTTGAGTGTTCGCTACCTTCAGAATTCTGTGGTGTATAAAATGACAATCCAATTTGACCATATTTCTCCTCCTGAATCTATCACAAAGTTTCATAGAGTTCCGGATAAGTTGAAGTGATAGAGAAGTAATTCGAAGCACATTGTTATGTACATGTCGCCAACCTGTTATGATCTCGTTAGTAGTTGATATGACTGAGTGGATTTATACGAGGGTATAATAACACTGATGCCATGGGCAACTCAAATAGGAAAGCTGTAATACGCGTATTCATCCGTAGTAGCTTCTACTTCACTGATCCACGTAAATATCAAGAGACAAAAACTGGCCTTTGACTGTTAGGATAAAATTTTATTAGGAAGAACACGTCATGAATGCCTTAGAATGCCTATCTCATGTTGTTGGCTGAATGTAAAAACTAAACGGAGATCATTTCCCACCTTGACTTGAAGTGAAATTGAATACACTGTGCTGAAAGTGGAAGATATACGTGTAAATACCCCAGTGAACAACAAACAGTCAGTAGACCAGAACATAAGAAACAAGTGATTCTGATGCTGTAGGGAATCATTCACATGATATGGACATCTGCAATCAGTTACTGTATTCGGAAGATGTTTCTGGAGTGGCAACCAGAAATCTGGTTGGACTATGAAAGAGCTGTTAATAGCAGTTTTAATAAATGCCAACAACACCCATATCGAAAACTCAAACCGTATAAAATGCTTGAAGTTTACATATGCTAACACGCTTAGCATTGCAAATAAGTCCCATGAGATAGGTGTCCTAGCCGATTAGTTGCGTCCGGTCATTAAGCGTGTCCGTAAATCGTTTGTCTGTGATATAGATGAGTTGCCTGATATATCACGGTTTGGTTGTCTGTGTATTAGAACAGCGGGGTAATTCTGCATATTGACAACTTCCTGTATAATTAAAACAGTCAAACCTGCATGTATCTGAAGTGTTAAACCGGAGTCCAAATTATCAATGTGATGACTTTGCATCATATTACCTCAAGGCATGTTGCAGACACAACAACTACCTTATTCTGGATGGCTTCAGTTCACATTATATACACCGGGTGGCTCTTTCATCTCCAGGATCCATTAACATGCTTGAGAGTAAATTACTCCTGACTGTCAAAGAGAATGTCTCAGCAGACTGTCACTGATGAAGAGCAATTCGTATGTGCCTAGGCTCTTCCCTGTTGAACTTGCTGTTTAGTGAAGTAGAAGATATTTGTAGTCAAGTTATTCAGGCTCTTCTGGTCTACAGCGACCATTGGGTAATATCTTTTAACATTGTGGCGTGTGAATTACCTCAGATCCATAACTAGGTCCCTCCAACATGATGTTTGCGTAGATTCAGTAGACATTTGAGAGAGTTATTTAAAAACATAACCTCTAAATATGGAGAGGCAAATATCTTCAAACTTCTTCTGAAGCTCACTCCTGGCAAGTCCAATGACACTGATGAACTGTACTCAAGCATACTATCAAAACTGTCCGACACCACACTAGAACCTTAGATGGTGTTGTTGAACTTGTCACTGAGCAAATCTTGTTCTCTAGGAGATTAGAAGAATGCCATCATCAGCTCGTTCCTTACGACTGGACCTATAGATTTGTTTACTAACCATCGTCCCGTTAGTCTAACTAGTTATTCTAAATGACATCAGCAAGTGGTCTAACCTGAAACCGATTGGATCCTCGCAAAAGAATACTTGGAAACTAGCTATTATAGATGTTAGACTAGTAGAGAGGATCACACATAAAGCTCTTGTTTGGTAGAAGAACAACATGATTTGAAGACAGGTGTTATCATTGCTTGACCAACTCTCTTTCGACACGAAAAATCTGAGCTAACGTAACTGATGTTAATATTTCGGTGATAGTTATATCCGTCGACTCGATCATATCCTCAAATAAAGCTAAGCAGTCTTTGAATCAATGAAATGATAAGAGACTGGATTCAGGACTTCCTTAGTGAAGGAATACAGAAAGTGAAAGTTTACGACATCCCGTCTTCATGGTGACCAGTGAAGAGTGACATGCCTCATCGTAGAATTATATACTGTTATCCCTTTTTGCCTAATGTAGATGAGATAAGAATTATAAATAAATAAATAAATCTATCTATCTATCTACTTTTCTCTGGGGATTTTGAGCTCTGGCACTCTTAAGTCACTGATATTGATCCACTGTTTTATAAGAGGATTTAGATCTATCAGTCAAGTTGTGTACACATTGGACCTTGGAGTTCAATATAAAATAGAGTTTAGTTATGCATATCGCACTTAACGACGCACACAACTACTCGATAAATGGCTTTACTGTACCTGCGGTTACCGAGTAGAAAGATTTAGGAGTATTTATAAGCCGTGAACTGCAGACTGAAGTAAACTTTAGAGAAGAGGCTATAGAGAATCATGTAATATTATTTACTTTCTGTCAGATCTATGAGAGCTTAGACGTTGACACATTTAGCAAAACATATTCAACCAATTCCAAACCACATCTGGAATACGGGATCCAGTCGTCAGTGAATATATGTTACAAATGAGGAGCAAACATATCGGATGGAGTTCAAGAAGTAACTATTCAAACGTTTGACGTACTGTCAAACTTTTCATATAAGCAGAGGTCAGATTGATGAGATTTATTCCTACTGTCATATTTACGACCGACGGGTGACCTCATGTTAGCATTCCATATCTGATATAATGATTTAGTTGCTAAATTATTCTTATTTCTGCCCCCTAGAACCAACCACTTCCCAGGAAGTCATCTTAAAATTCAGAAACTACAGTTGAACTGTCAGCATCCCAGTGAATTTCTTCCAAAGGAAACTCGGAATGATAATCGAACAATTATTAAAACCACACGTTGAGTGACGAGTGGAATTCGAAAACACAGGATTTGTCTAGAATACGGTACTATATTAAACTCAAAATATGAAATATAGAATATAAACCTCAATTGTGAGGTGTCTGTGGCTGAATGTCGTCAAAAAGCACAGTCAAGGTGCGTCAATAAGTAAAAATAGCAGAGCTGTGTCAAAGGCGATCCACGTGTTATTCAAACAGTGCACGAATGCCAAACACAGGATAAGGGGATACGGATAAACAATATTCAACAGTAAAGGGTACACGAATAAAGCATATACAGCAAATAATGTTCGACTATAAGAAAATTATTGTTATTATACGTCTAATAGATTAGTAATACATCGAGTGAGATAAACAGTAGTAAATGAAGAGCGACCAAATCATTAAATAGTGCAATTCTGGCTCATCTAGTGGATAGCGAACACAGCATCAAAGTAGAGGAGTCATTTACAGTTGTGTATTGAGTACCAAACAATCTCCCCAAAGGCACACGACTATGCCTCCTAGCCATAGCTGAGGCTTTAGAGATTAATAGAGAAAGACCAGACTTATGTGTACAGAAAAAACTTATACACTCTCTCTGTCTACCATGGCCCACTATAAGACCACCAGGATCATAATTTTCCGTATTATTATCATTCTGTGATATCATGTCTTTATTATCCATTTCTCCACCCAGTTTATTTCACCTCATTGTTACCCTTAATTTTGTCAACCTTTGTGATTTTACACTAGCCTACCGCCTCTGTAACATCTTATTACAATTTACAATTTAGCCTCTTTATTTTATCATTAGACATTATCAGTCAGCCCTCACATTCAGTGTCCCCTTTGTTAATGTGTGTTTGTATGTATTTTGTGGCTATCGCATTTCTCTCACCCCAATGACACTTGTATTCTGTTGACTATAAAACGGCACTATATCACCCAATTTTTCATTCACACTTCATCACATTTTTCTGACTATACACCCTATACACATTTGATTGACTGTGTTAACTAATGGACTATCAACTCAACTTACACATGCACCCCAATACAGTTTCTGATATTATTTTCATTTGCCTTTATTGGTTATATGTACTCTATTATTCATGGATTTATAACTGTAGAGCCTGAAGAAGAAGTTATCGAAAACAATTGTTCGTTCAAAATCTTGTTTTGATTTCAATGTGGGGATATTTCATTTAGTAAATGAAGACATTGTTAAATTTAACAAGTTTCTTGCACTACTTACTAGAAATAAGTAGTATAAATTTAACGCAAAAGAAAGAATGACAGGGGAAAATATGGAAAGAATTAACAATCTGGAAATTCGTTCCTCGCACGCATTAGCGAACCAAACGAATTTCCTGTCATTTCAGCTCCTTCCGGTGATTTATTTAAGCAAGAATTTTCATTCTCTGTAAAGCGAAATGAAAGGATTTATATAGACCTTCCAAATAATCATTTCTAAATAAATGAAATGTTATCTTATATCCTGTTGAATCCTCTCCGTACACCTAGTTTAAAAGCCTCAGTCGGTCTGCATTACTTCTACTGTGTACCGAATATTTTCAAATTTTTCATTCGCAATTGGCACAGTTCCTAGTTGAGAATTCACTTTAGTTTGTTTCGGGAAACACGTTTATTCAGATGACAACCTCTGATTTTCTTCATACCATATGAATGACAGTCAAGAATGTAAGCAAAATAGCCTGGGGATATATACCACTGATTGATGTAAACAGTTGGAAATCACTCACGCTAACCAGCGGTATATACCACAGAGATCAGACTGATCTAAACACTATATGTCCATTTTTCTCGTTTAGTATTATGCTAATGAGTGGTGTTCTCAGTTTCGACTCATCTCAGAGCACCGAATCAGCTCACACTGCCCGAATTCTGTTAATGTATAAAATCAACTTCTCACTTTCAAGTTACTGTGTTCTTGATGAAAATTCACTACAGTTTCTTCTGAAGACCTAGAATTTCAATAGTTTTGCTAAACTGAAAGGTTAAATTAACTTGTTAACTTAAGGTGTAAAATTATCGTC